GTTCCTTCTCTTCATTTTGTGTAGCACTGTCTTCTGCCCTTTGTTGTAGATCTTTGCAGTAGTTGTAACCTTCACACATACTGAAGTTCAGGTGGAGCTCTACAGAGTTTGGAGTTATCCAGCTGCGTGTGGCTTAGGTCTGGCTGCTGTGCTCAGCTCCTTCCTGCTGCGGACCTTGGCTAGGACTGGATCTGGGGATTCCCGGAAGTCCGCAGAAATTCCTGGGCTAGGACTGGGTCTGGGGGTTCCGGGAAGTCCGCAGAAATTCCTACTCGGCGGGAGGGGTGGGGCAGGTAAGAATTAAGTTTTTAAAGGTCTGGTATGTTATATTAATAGCTAAAGAAAAATCCCATTCATAATTATCTGTTATATTCCAACAATAACCTCTGAGTATTCTGCAGATCTTCCTGACATCAGGCTGGTGGACGGGAGGAGCCGGTGTGAAGGGCGAGTTGAAGTGTACTACAGCGGCATGTGGGGCACTGTGTGTGATGACCTCTGGGCCCTCAGTGCTGCCCACGTGGTGTGCCAGCAGCTAGGCTGTGGAGAAGGCGTCGATGCCCTGGGGAGTGGCCACTTTGGGGAGGGTGTTGGGCACATCCTTCTGGATGATGTGCAGTGCTGGGGCAACGAGACTTCATTAGGCCAGTGCTACCATCTGGGCTTGTCTGTCCACAACTGTGGCCACCATGAGGACGCCGGGGTCATCTGCTCAGGTACGCATGTCCAGCTTTCTCCTGAGGTTGACGGAGCTATGGCTTTTGGTGGGAATCTGGTAATTAATATGAGGAGGTTTGGGGCCTGTTCTGGTCCTCCAAACCATTAGCCAATGTCCATTTGCAAAGTCCTGAGACTCGCTAGAGCAGTAGGTATATAAGGATGTGTGGTGCAATAGTCCTGCAGCATACCCTGACTTTGATTGTAGGAGACCCTCTCCATCTCTCTTAGCCTCTTTCTTAATGTGCTGATTGACCCTGGACTTCACCCAGCACCTGTGCATTCTCCTTGGCTGTCAGTCTTCAAGCTGCAATCTTCAGGGACATCCCAGTTCCTCTCTGTCAGCCACCCACTAGGGTCATGGCATTTCCTAGTCTTTGTTGTTATCTTTTTTGAACTTTAGAGCTGACATCGTAGTGTCATGGAATCTTGGGAATTCCATGAACAAAACCCAGTTCCTCACCCACTGCAATACTATTTCCTTTTTGTTTATCTCATTGAGACAGTTTTCTTTTGTTGTTGTTGTTGTTGCTTATTTGTTTAATTCACTTCAACTTGTGCATTATCTGTTTTCTTCTTTCTTTGGCTGAAAATGTGGAGTAGGAAATGAAATGAAAATATCCACAGCCCAGCATGTTTAGAGGACAGAGACTCCAAATAATAGGATTTAATTAATTCTTCTATTTATTCAATAAATATCTGTGTGCCAGACCCAATTCTAGGTGCTGAGCATTTAGTACTGAATGTAGACTACCATCAAACATTCCAGTGAGAGGGTTGGATTCACTTGTGCAGTTCATGATGAATTGTGAGCAGAAGAAAATAGATGTTGAAGGCCAGTGAAATAGCTCAGTGGTCTAAAGTCCCTGCTTAGGCAAGCTTCTGCAGTTGGATCCCCAGCACCACATGCTGTGCCAGCTCCACCCTCAGGGCAGGCTGAACTGGCACAAAAAAAAAAGTGTTGAATCAGGGATCATGATATGCTCTATTACAATAAGGAACAGTTTTCCTCTAATGTTCAGACAACTTGTTATGGTGTTATAAACCTGCTTTGGCTTTAAAACATGATAAATCAATGATAGAAACCTAAAGTCAGAATTAGAAAGGTTCCAAGTATTTGCCACTGTAGAATATGTGGACTTTTGATCCATCCTGGCATGTTTTTTCTACAACTAAGGAACATTTCTGTCCCTGCTGTCAAATATTTCTATTTCAGTCTCAAATAAGAAAACACTTTCACTTTTAACTTCATGTTTCAGAAATTATATTGCTTCTAATTTAAATGTATCTGAGGTATTGGAGTTGTAAGTAAAAAGTACTTTCTAAATTTCTGTTTGTTTTATAATTTCAGCATCAGCCACAGAAATGACCACTTCACCTGGTAATTATATTTTCTTTCTTGCCTTCTATCAGTCAGACATGTATAGATTGCCTGCCACAGGATTAGGGTTGCGGTAACTGAAACAGTTGAACAGCCTGCATATCCCTGAGCACAGGAACATGTGCCTACTTGAGCCTCGTGCTATGGTGGCAAAAGCTCATCTCTGAGAATGCATTTTCGTGGCATGGCTTCAGTGAGTTTCTCCTCATTTTGGCTAGTTTTGCTATTACAGGACTTCAGACATCTCAGTGGAAAATATAATCTACATTTTAAGGGGATAATGGATTACCATCACATTTCCCAATAATGTTTCACAGTACAACACACTAATTCAGTGATACAATTTTCAAAGAAAGGTTGGCATGGTTAGATACATTGAGGAAATACCACATCCCTCTCTTGGATTCAGGCTCATAGCGTATTAAAGTCTCTGGCAAGTCTTACATAAGACATCTGTTTAAAACTTGGTTAAATTCAATTTTCCTGAAACATCTTTGATCACTGAAACCTTTTGAATGACTATATGATATAAGAACTCGGAGTCGAAGACGCTGGGGTTATGTCTTCCTCTGCAGTTAACCAACTGTTTATGATGCGAGCCCGTCCTCCTACTCCTTGGAGCCTCTGTTTCTCTAATCTGTAGAAGAGGAGGATGAAAACAGTCACTTGAGACCCTTGTCCTAGGAACTGGGTGGTCTGGACCTGTGTAACCAACTTGTGTCCTTCTGTAAACTTCCTTCTTCTGGACATTCTGGGGACCATCCTGGGGCTTGAGTTGATCACTGTGTGGCTAACTACATTGGAAATACCTGCCCCACATAAGGCAGCTTAGCTAGAGTTTTCTCTCCACTATTGAAAGTTATCAAAGTCGCCCTTGGTCTGTATTTTCTAAATCTCCATGTCCGTCCGTCAGGCTTGCCAGAAACTAAACTTTGAAGGAAATTGGATGGTGAAATACACTTCTCTTCTTGGGCTTGCATCTGTGAACGTTGCCCACCAAGTGTCTCAGGCAAGGAAAAGTTACATGTGGTACCATCGTGGTAATGCTGGCTCAAGAACTGGAAGAATCCTTAGAGACTGTTCAGCACAAAAGTCACAAATGAGCTGCCTGTTGGTCAGTTTTGACCCACTAATGACTTTATATTCATGCAACCTAATTTTGCCTATGCATGTGTAAGTTGTTTTAATCCAACATATTAAGAATGAAAGATTTCAGGGCTGGCCAGATAGCTCAAGGGACTAAAGCTTCTGCTTAGGCAGAGTTCAGGAACTAGGGTTTGATCCCCATGTGCCATGCTGACCCCGTCCCCAGGGCATGCTGAGACAGCAATTGAGACTGGGTGCAGTAGTATGCACCTGTAATCCCAGTGTTTGGGAGGCTGAAACAGGAGAATCACTACATGTCTGACCTGTGTAGTGAGACCCTATAGATCCGGTACTAAATACATTTTTAAAAAGAATGAAAGAAGATTTCATAGAAGAATCCAGACCTCCAAGGACAAGAGTGGTATGGCTCTTGCCTGTCGTATATCAGGCCTGATGAGTGATCCCTAATTCTGCAAAATCATCATCACCACTATCCAGACTTCGAGGTGTGTGTGTGTGTGTGTGTGTGTGCACGCGTGTGTGAGTGCGTGTGTGCGTGTGCATGCATGCATGCCTGCATTGTCCTAGGGATCAAGCCCAAGGCTTTCTGTATACTAAGCAAGCGCTGTACCACTGAGTTACGTCCTGAGCCCAAGATATCCAGCATTGGTTTAAAAATGTATGATTAATAGCATGATTTCCTCAGGGCAGCAGTAGGCTGAGGCTAAGAAGCCTAAAACTGCCCTTCCATATGGGCTTATGATCTCTGTGTTTTCCTATCCTTCCATGTGTATGGCCTATAGTCATCTCTAATTGTATCCTTAGTGCTTCTCAGAGTTTAATATGTGCCTAACTCACTTGAATATCTTCTTAAAATGCAGATTTTTATTTCAGTAGATTCTGGAGAGTTTAGATTTTTTTGTTTGTTTATGTATTTAGTGCAAGGTCTAAAGGGTCTCACTACATAGATCAGACTTCTAGTGATCCTTCTGTTTTCAGCCTCCTAAGTGCTGGGATTACAGGCACACGCCATCATAACCCGTCTCAATTGCTGTCTCAGCATGCCCCGGGAGTGGGGCCGGCTGAGCATGCCAGGTATGCAGCCCCGATACCTGGGTCTGCCTAAGAAAGTATTTTAATCTGCTGAGCTATCTGGCCAGCCTTTAAACATAATTTTGAGACTTTAACTTAAGTATTGAAATTACATGGGTAGGATACAGCTGACTTTTAGGATTTGTAAGATTTGAGTACCTTTTTAATTTTTTTTTTTTTTTTTTTGTGGCTGGCTCAGCCCACCCTGGGGGCAGGGCTGGTGCAGCATGTGGTGCAGGGGATCAAAACTGCAGCCCCTGTGTGTTTGCCTAAGCTTGCCTAAGCAGGTGCTTTAGACCGCTGAGCTATCTCACCAGCTCTAGATTTTGAACAATGAGATACAGATCTTGCTGATCCATGAACTAGCCTTTCATATGCAGCAGCTGAAGCTCAGAGATGCAAAGAAAGTGCTCAATGTCACCAGTCCCATTACACAAATGAGCTAGAACCCAGGGCATTTGGGTCACAGCCCCATGTACCACAGCTGTTGATATTTATCTAATTTAGCTAAATACAACAGAAAGTAGAAGAATCAAAGAGGAATAAAACACAATCAAATGTGCTGGGGCTTAGTTTTTAATGGGGCCATTTAAAAAAATTTTGACTAATGACCTTGGTTCATAAGGATTGCATTTAATTATAATTTTCTTTAACTTTTCCTTATTTTTACAGATCCTACCTCTATTTCAGCCACAGATTTGCTCCTTCCAACAGGTAACCAATTTTCTGCTATTTTGTCCTCTTACCACTGAGCTCAGATATATTGCTTCATTGAGATTCTACCAGGACAGTACAGTAACACCCCTAGTTTCTAGGAATCACTCAGTTCAACTTACCTGTGGTGAATAGACCAGAACTTGGAAGTGGGGGGGGGGGGGACTCTATGCATCCACATTGAGATCTCAGCGTTCAAACCCGAGTAAAGTGTTTGAATGCACATGGTAGTAATTTTAGAGCCTGACTCTCTCACTTTCTACACACACATAATTACTTAAAAGGTGGCTATCTCTCCTGCCTATTGACTGTATATTAGGAGAAACAAGAGGTCGCAGATAGGGTTCAGAGACTGGGAGTGGTAAAACTAGCAACTGAGCCACATCAACAATGGTAGGAAATACCAGAAAACGCTCCAGTTGTCACAGAAATGCTCAGAAAAAAAAGCATTCAGTATCATCAGATTTCCCAAATGTAGCAATCTGGAGCAAAAATGCCAACTTAACCTCAGTGTCTTCTGAGCTACCTCTGTATTATATCCTAACATGAAATACAATGATATTCTTTCAAATGGACCTGAATCGTGCAAGTTAAAATATGACTAAGATCTTTTTTTAAAAAACCAAGGATGTCGCTCAGTAGGATAAGCACTTCCCTGGCAAGCGCAAGGGCCTGAGCTCAATCCCCGGGTCTGCCAAGAAAATAAAATAAAATAAAGAACTAGGAACAAGGTTTTATTTTAGGAAAGATTTGTTTGACAATATCACAGAGCATGTGCTTTTTTAGATAGCTAACTCTTTCTTAGGAAGATAAGAAATAACTAGTCCTCATACTAAAGTTTTTCCAACAAATAATGGTAAGTAAGACCATAGTAAAGCCAGAATTTTCTTATTTCCAGAATCTTTGGATATTGCTATGTCCACTTTAACAGGTAATTTAAATGCTTTTTTGGTTCTATTTTGACTTGATACAAATTATTTTAATTCCAAGTGAATTCATTAAGCTTTGATTCTTCAGTAATCTTTTATTTTGAGTTTTTAAATATGTTTATAGTGGCCTGAGTTGTAAGGGTCATCTCCAGATCCTCTAATAATGAATGAATTCTGGGTAGCCCAGCTTAACTAATGGGCCAAGGGGAAAAAATTCTTCAGTCAATTAAACCAAGTCAAGTCCATGAAAAATATAACCTGGACCAACTAGACATTTAACGCCATTACTTACTCATGGTGAGCATTTCTCCTTCTCTTGGTTACTTTTTCTTTTGCTGCTAGGAAAAAAAAAAAAAAGGCCAATGCCCAGAATTAAAGAACAGATTTATTTACCTCAATTTGTGGAGGTTTCAGTCCATACTCTTCTGGCTCCAAGGTAGAGTGGCACATGGCAGAGGGCAACAGTATGTTGTGGCAGAAAATAGCAAAAGCAGCAAAAACAAAAAGGGAGGTGCCACAGAGAGTAAGCCTCTTTCCCTCTCTTACGTTGCATACCAGCTACCCACCCCAGGGTGGGTGTAGCGCTCACACCCCTAATCCCAGTATTGGGCCATGAATCAATCAAAAACTCTAGAAGCCCCCACCATGATTACATGAGGCCTTGGGGGACATCTAGACACAGACCACACCACTCCTGGACACTAGCCTAGGAGCGGGGGACATGGCTTGGAGGCAGTGGAGGATCTGGAGGTGGACTACTACAGCCCTGTCTGGAGAACAGAAAGACAAGTGTGGACAGTCACACTGACCCATGATTCCACTGTCACATCTCCCATATCTTCTAGAAGCATGTGTGCCAGACATGACAAATTCTGCCTTTTTATTTTTGTCCATCTCAAGCTTTAGCCTCAACCCCTCTAACCTCCACTCCATGTGGAGCTGTCACTAGTCCTCTCATGTGCCTCATCCTGGGGTTCCATTTATAAAACTAGTCTGTTTCAAGAAGACATTGTCCCAGGCAGAGACTCAGTGAAAATGGAAACCTGGGAGTCCCTTCCACTGATATTTAAGTTCTTTTTCTATCTATAGATTTTTCTTCAATCTTGCCAGAAGTGACCTTCCCAACAGGTAAAGTCCTTGTCTCTGTGTTGTTTAAATTAATGACCTGGGCTTCTTATTAGTATGGAAAAATGATCCATTGACCAAAAAATAAAGCTCAATGAAATGATACACCTGATTCTTTTCACTCATGTTTAACTAGTGTCTTGATCATACACAGATGCATCGCCAACCCTAGCAGAAGTAGACATTCCCTCTGGTAAGGTTCTCTGCCTCTCATATTTCTGAAGGTAAACATAACTATGATCAACTTTTCCCTTACTTGACTAATGAACATAAGTACTGAATACTTTATGGTATAAAGCCCAGTGTTCACAGAAAGCACATAGAGGAAGCTCCACACACCCTGCACTCAGCTACAGACACAGATGTGGTCCCTGAAACAGAGATAACCTGCTGCCTGCTGCCCTGGTCTTGGTCAGACATGCCGGAGAGGTGCCGTGGCCAAGGGCCTGTATTTAACTTGCCTGTGTGTGCTGTGGTGATTAGTTTCAAGCATGACCTGCAACAACAGAAGTGGGTTTTGATGATGTTCATTTACTGGTTTATTCTCTCTTCCGCTACGCTGTTAGCTAACCCAGAATGCTCTTCTCCATTCACAGATACAACCCTTACATCAGGTGAAGTACCCTTTTCACCAGGTACGTTGTCTGCCTTTGCAGTGCCTGGTGAGTGCCTTTCTGAGAATGCCCAGCCTGGCAAGAATTAAAACTCCCAGAGTGAACACTTCCTGCTTCCTAGGTGAGGTTAAGTGAGATGGGGAGCCAAGGAGAAATCAAACAGTTCTCTGGAGGACTCCAGGCCCTCCCCATCACTGGTTATGAAACTGAACACAGTCAGGGTAGATGCTGGGGACAGAGAGAACAGGATAAAAGGGCTTTGGATATAGAACCTGAAGGAGATTGTAGAGATATGATCTAAAACAGTGATTTTTACAAGTTAGCCTACATGGAGGCCTCCTGGAGAACGTGCTGAAGGCGGATGCACTGACTCTGGGAAGAGCTTGAACACTTCTATCAGGCTCCTCTCTGATGCCACTGATGCTAGTCATGGACTCCTTGGAGAAGTAAAGAACTGAACAACCACTCTAACTTCAGAGGATAATGAGGCCCAGAGAAGAAAGACATTTGCCTCAGGCCACACAGGGAAGAAAGGTAGAGCAGATCTCTCAACCCCATTCAAGGTCCTTTCAGATTCTAGGCTTTGCTAGTGAATCCATTGGTGTGAGTTCTCCAAGTCCCGAGACATTGGCGTCTGTTGGGGGAGGGCAGGCAGAAGATGGAGCTCATCTGGACAGGTGTATTTCAGGACAAACCTGAGAGGGAATGCCCTGGCATTGAGGCCATACCGGGCAACTCTTGTACAGGCTATAAGGTCTTTTATAAGATCATGGGTGTAAAGAGGGGCTGTGAAGGAAAAAGTCAAATTGGGACTTTCAGGGAGAGAGTTGTGGCTGCTTGCCAGGGACAAGGCTTGAGAACACGCAGAGAGCTGCTAGTGCTCACCAACAGCAGGGCTGACTGCTGATGGATGCTGCTGGTCAGGGCCCTTCTCACCAAGCCTCCTCAGCCCATGACTGTGCATCAGTACCAGTGCACGTGCGGGGCAGAGGAGGGGTTTTTTTTCTTTTTTTCATGTATGTATGTATGTATGTATGTATTATTTATTTTTCCCATAATTTTATTGAGAAACAAATAGCAAGGAGACAGTTTCAAACCGAATTGGTAGGACAGTTTCAATAATTAACACATTGCCTACATTATTCCTAGTGGTTAATTGCTGTACAAGATGCGGACATGATATCCTGTTTACAGACACTATTAGAAGGGAATTTTCCCAGAGGATCTGAAAACATCATATCATAGTGATATATGTGTGCCTATGTTTATAGCAGCACAATTTGTGATAGCCAAATCTTGGAAACAATCAAGATGCCCATCTTGATTAAAAGATGATAAAGATGTGGTATTTTTATACAATGGAGTATTACTCAGCTATAAAGAATGATAAGCTCAAAGCCTTTATATATAAGTGGATGCCAGAGGAGAGGTTTAACATGGTCTCTGTTCAGCCTAGATGGTGGCAGTAGGATTCCTTCATTCCAGACTATGGCTAGATTAGGAGAATGGGCGATGCATCTCTTCTTTAACTGGTTTTTGCTAATTTGGGGCTATGGTGGTTGGGGTTTGGTCTAGATTAAAGAAGGAGGACCAAATTGACATGGCATTTAAAAAATGCCTGTAAAATGGCTGCAATGGCTGTTTGTGAAAAATTTCTGAAACAGATTTATTAGATATGCCAATAATAAACAGGTGATTTTAAAAAAGCAAAACGGGCACTACAAAAGGAGGAGTCCAGGACAGGATAGTGGGATGCTATGCATCCACTGAACTCTGCACAAGGGTCCTGAGACATTTGTGATACTGCTTGGGCCCCGATGTGGCTCTCAGCAGAGCCACAGTCACATTGACATGATTATCTGGGATACAAGTACAACGTGTCATGTGCAGCATGTGTGTCCTTGGGCAGCTATAAGGTGTTCTAAAGCCACGTGATTTTTCAAAACTACTTCGTTGTAGGTTCTAGGCCTCCAGTTGGATTTGTGCAAGGCATTGTTATGATCTCTAGGTTTTCAGCTGGACTTATACAGGATATTAGGATCTAGGCCCTCAGCAGGAGTTTTTAGTGTTTGTGTGTGGACAGATTACATGCACTTCTTGTATATGATTCTTGTCCTGTACTAAATTAGTCCCCTTGCAAGAGCCTCAGACCATGACAGAGCATCTCTGGCTTAGTCATTGTAAGGGCTAGAGACATAAATGATCTGGCACATTGCCATTTATCAACGGAGACTTATTATTAATCCACCATGCAAAGCACAAATTTCCTATAAACTACTTCATTTCTGAACATGTAAATTCATAAAAATGAATGCACAGTACTTATGAAGTAGGGTTTTCATAAATTCATAGTCTCCAATATAAAAAATTTCAATGAAATCAAACTTAATGGTTTGTTTTTGTTAATTTTTCTTGGCAGCCAGAGACCCAATTTCAGTGAAAGTGACATCATCACCTGATAATGATTATGTTTATTGTTAGATTAATATAAGATTTTATAATTTATTGTTATAAAACCTATTGTAACATTTCCTACTTTGCTTCATATACTCTTGTACAGAATTATACCTCTCAGATATGAACTTTCTCTTATTTAACTTGACCTTCATTTTCAGTCCCTATAAAAGTTTCCTATAAAATCTAATGGTTTTTTATTCTTCTTTCAAAACTTCATTATATTTATAATCTTCTCTATGACTACTTAATCATTTTACTTTTGGAGAACAAAGTGTATCTTTTTTGGGGGGGGGGTATTGGGGATTGAACTCAGGACCTTGTCCTTGCCAGGCAAGTACTTATTCTACTGAGCTATCTGCCCAAGCCCAACAAAGGGTATCTAAAACCACTTGTTATTGCTACTTCTTTCTCAATAAAATTGTTTTAAAAAATAAAATAAAACCACTTGTTACATTTTTTTTTCAAAGTTTTATTGACAAAGAGATAGCAATGAGACAGTTTCAAATCAAATTGGAAGGACAGTTTCAACAAATAATACACTGCATATATTCTTCTTAGTGGTTAATTGCTGTACAAGATGCGGACTTGTGATCCTATTTACAAACACCATTAGAACAAATCATTCTATTACTTGTTACATTTTGATGCTAAGAAAATAATAATAGACCTTAATGGAGGGTGTTTCTATGTTCAAACCAATAAAGAAATTTAAACAAAAGTATTAATTCTGAAATTAGAGAAAGTCTTTGGTTCTTGGGTTTTGAACATAAATGAGTTGAAAGGTATGCATTTTTAAAACTTGTGTATTTATTTTTATTTACAGTTACAATTTCAATGGAAGAAATGATCCCTTTGCCTGGTAAATTTTGTTTTGTTCTTAATCATTACAATGATCGCATCTCTACTAGGATTATATCTCTTTTTTATTTAAATTCCCTACTGTTTGCAGAAGATAATTATAAGTTTGTAAGTGTGTATGTGCAGATGAACACATTGTGGATTGGAAGCCTAAAATTCACCATCGCAAGGCCTGACTCAGAAGATACTTACCCTTGAGCCTGGTGTGGTGCCTCATGCCTGTAATCCCAGCACTCGGGAGCCTGAGGCAGGAGGATAGCAATGAGCTCAAGGCCAGCCTAGGCTATGTAGTGAGCTCAAGGCCAGTGTAACTACACAGTGAAACCCGAGAGAGAGAGAGAGAGAGAGAGAGAGAGAGAGAGAGAGAGAGAGAGAGTTACCCATATTCATGGTTCACATTCTTTCTTCCCACCTATGTACCCACCTTTCCTCTCTTCTTCTGGTGCTGGGGATAGAACCCAGAACCTCGGGCTTCCACTCATTCTACCACTGAGCCCCTATGTTCATAATCAAACAAGCACAGTAATTTTGCTGCCAATATTGCAGCCTTCAATTAGGCCAGGATGGAGCAACCATCCTGGACCAAGCATACTATAGCCAGAGAAATCAATGCTACTATGGATTATCAATAGTTACCAAGTGTCTTACATATGCCAAACAGTGCAGAATGCTGAAAGATAAAGCTACCTCAGACCAATTAATATGAAAACAGATCTTTTTACACATGTCTATGGATCAGATACCGTTGGCATGATGCAGTTTGCCATGATGATGTTTTGGTCAATGGGAGGCCACATGTATGAAAGTGGTCTTATACCATTATATGGCCTGGTGACACTGTAGTCAACTTCTTTTGTGCAAATATATTCAAAATATATTTATGCTATTATGCAACAATAGAGTCACCTAATGATGCACTTCTCACAATGCATTGGCCTGATTAATAACACACAACTGTACAGTGTTAGCCTACTTTTAATTTTAAAATAAATGTCTTTGAAGTACCACTTCTGTTTAATAGTTGTAGCGATCTCTGAGTTTTATCTAACATATGCAGCTATGTAACCAGTGGTGCAAGAGCATATCAATCACCCAAAAACTTCCCTCCTGCCCTTGTGCAGTAAGTCTCTCCAACCTTCCCCAGGCGACCACTGATCTGTCTCTGTATTTTCTTTTTTTCTAGAATCTCATATTGTGGACTCAAATACAGTATTAAATGTTACATAATATAAGTTTATTCATATAAAAATAAAATTCACATAAAAATAAATTATTTTTACTCCTTAAGAGTAAAAATAATTTCATAGAACATGTTTTGTTTGAAGTCAGATCAGAGCCTCAATTTAGAACAATTGGATTTCAAGGATTTGGAGAATTGATTTTCACAAATATAATCCTTTATCCACCCCCATACCATACTGGGGACTGAACTCAGGGCCTTCATGCTGAACTACATTCCCAGCACTTTTTTTTTTAAGAGAATAAAAAGATAGTTCAAAAAAACAGAAATGATACAGAATTTCACTAAGCAAAATTACAAGAATTTAAGAAAGCTTAGCCGGCCAAGTAGCTCATGACCGGCCAAATAGCTCAGCGGATTAAAGCACCTGCAAGCAGGCACAGGAGACTCGTGTTTGATCTCCGGACCTGCGGTGCTGGCCCCACTCTGCCTGCCCCCCTGGGCACGCTGAGATGCCAACTGAGACTAGGCGTGGTGGTGCGCACCTGGAATCCCAGCTTTTGGGAGGCTGTAAACAGATGGAACACTATGAGTCCAATCTAGTAATGAGATTCTAAATGCCCTAAAATACAAAAGAGGGAGAGAGAGAGAGAGAGAGAGAGAGAGAGAGAGAGAGAGAGAGAGAAGAAAGACAAGGTGTTGCTAAATTGCGTGGGTAGAGTTTGAGCTTGTGGTCTCTCTGCCTTACCCTGGCAAGGCACTGGGGATTACACGCATCTACCACCACCCGCAGCTATTGAGTTTTAGATTAGGTATTTCGTTGTATAGAAAGTTGGGATCTCCACAATGATTTTAATAGTACTTTCTCTGCACAGCTAGAAACTTCTGCATACAGAGACAGGAGAATGGGTTTTAATGAGAAAAACTCAATTGTGTCCTGAAATATTTATGCCAGCTTTGCAAACAAGCATAAAACATTTACAAATGCTGCCTCCAAACATACTCTTCAAAGACAGAAAATGTACACTCTGATTCACCAAAATACATACACACAGACACACACACACACACACACATTGTTTTTCACTTATCTGGTCTGCCAATTTTAGGAAAATTTAAAACTCTAGAGTAAGTTGAATCAAATAAAAAAAAATGAGAAATGGGAACTTTAGCTGGGGAGAGGAGGACTGAATGCTCTCTGCACATAATTATTAAATATTCATCACATTTCTGGTTGATATTCCTATCTCTCAACTAGATATACAATCTTGTACAATAGAAACAGATTCTTACCCTTGCATGCCCCCAAACCATCCTACTGTCTGAACTTGAGACTAAATATGTACAGAGATTTGGTCAATAAATACATGTTTTTGTGCCTACTGTGTGAAAACAAAAACAAAAACAAAAAAACAAAAACCACCACCACCACCAACAACAACAACAAAAAAAAAAAACTGGGCTTGCCCACAGGAGGGGGGAGAAAAAGAGAAAGGGTCTGGGTGGGGTAAGGTGGGGGAGTGGACGCAGAGACACAGAGACAGAGAGCGAGCATGAATATGTGGAGGCGGAGCGGACTGCAAAAGCAGAAATAGAATTCATCGCTGTTGCTCTTCCTTACGACCTCTCTCGTCGTGCCCTGCAGACTCGCCCCTGCGCCTGGCGGGCGGGAAGAACCGCTGCGAGGGTCGGCTAGAGGTGCGGTACCAGAGCGAGTGGGGCACCGTGTGCGACGACCACTGGAACATGAAGAATGCCCGCGTCGTGTGCCGCCTTCTGGGCTGTGGCCATGCCCTGAGCTCTCCGGGTCGTAGTCGCTTCGGCCCGGGCTCGGGACCAATTCTGCTGGACGACGTGCACTGCACGGGCACCGAGGACGCCCTGGAGCAATGTAGCCACGCGGGCTGGGCGCGCCACGACTGCCAGCACCACGAGGACGCGGGCGTGGTCTGCTCAGGTACAGCTGCACGGTACACCCGAGGCCCTAGGTGTCCCTGAGGTAGTGCCCTAGCAACACTTACCTCGCGAGACAGCCTTTCTCTCCAAGTATCCCTGAGGTCAAGATTCACCATCTCCATAGCAGAAGACTTGGTCAAGGGGCCAGCTCTTAGCATAAAGAAGGTGCACTGGCTAAATATACCTGATGTACCTACAGCTTCAGACTCAGTCTTCCCCAGCCCGAGCCCCCAAATACACCACGTCTGTGGAATAGGACACCAGCCAGAGCTTATCCATGTGACCGGGTTTGTGGTCTGTGAAGCTCTGTGTTTGCTGTTCTTTTGCTCCAACAAACCTTGGAGTTGAGGAAGTGCATATTCTCAATACCACTTCACATGTGCCAAAATCTAGCTCTCGCAGAAGATGCCAGGCCCTCTTCATCTCTGCGTGATCTAGAATATTTTCGTGCCGTGGTACTTTAGCTTTCATCGTAAATCCAGTGAGCCCGTGCCCCTGTGTTTTTCATCTACTGCTAGTTATAATGTCCTCTTTGGTGTTTCAGCACTGTGGACATTTGTTTTTATCATCTCCCACTGCTAGGTGCAGCTGACTCTGTCGTGCCCAAGGACAAAGGTAAAGTCAACCTCTTGGCCTGGATCTGAGGCTACAAAAGCGGGGTAACAGAGCAGCCAGCAGGGAAGAAAGAGCAGGCTTGGAAGGGGAGCGAGGGTTGGCTGCTGTGCTTCCACTGAGGTCTCTGATTTCTGTCTGTGTGCTGGGCTTTAGGAGGTTGGGGCAGTAGCGTTCTTTGCACCCAAGTTCCCACCCTCTGTCTCCACTCATTCTTCCACTCCCCTCCATGCAAAGGCCCAGATGGGCATATGTTCAGGCTCAGGTGTTCTCAGTGTGGGAAAGGAGCTGTCCTTTAATCCTTACAGAGGCTGTGGCTCATGACCTATGGGACATATGCTGCGTATGGGATTCCCCCATGGATGTAGCACAGACTTTTTGAAGATAGGGGTTATAAATAAACTCAGTGAAAATCAAGGGCAGGGCAGAGGATGAAGAGGGCTGCACCAGCTCCAGCCCACAGCTCCGTCCATGAGACTTTCAGAAAATAAACACATGCTCAAGCCCTGACCTGTACGCACAGAGCAGCAGGTGCTCCTGGTGATGACGCCTCCCCTCCTGCAGCCCAGCTCTCCTGCTTGCCCCACCTCTTCCAAGCTGTCATTGACCGAGGCTACCTCCGGAGACTGGGGTATTCCTCCTGGGACATCCACCTAAATGATAAGCTGTGTCGCCCCCAAGTCACTGGGCGCTACCTGATCTTCAACATTCCTTATGGCCACTGTGGCACTGTCTTGCAGGTAAGAAAATAATGAGGAGATGGTATCTTTTATGAATGGAGGCCAAAGTAAGAGACTTAGAAAATTTAACCACCCGTTGAAAGCTTATGTAACTGGGTGTCATGTCACATGCCTATAATTTCAGCACTCTAGGAGGCTGAAGCAAGTTTAAGCCCAGCCTGGGCAATTTAGTGATTTAGAAAGACCCTGTGTGAAATTTTATTTTTTAAATTTCGAAGGGCTGAGGATGTAGTTCACTGTAAAGGCCCTGGGTTCAATATCTAAGGTAGGGTGGGGTGCACTGCATAGGAAAGAAAAAAACACAAAGCATAACTTAATTTCTGAGTTTGGTGAGACCTGGAGCAGCTCAATCACTTGATTGAAACTTTCCTTCCAGTGAGTTACTTAGGATATACACTGAACACGGGACATGCTCAAGTGTTGAGTGCTGATGTGTAGTGGAGGTGTGGATGGAAGGATGGGCAGATGGATGGACGGATGGATGGGTGGACAATGGATGGATGAGTGGATGGATGGACAGATGGATGGATAAATGGGTAAATGGATGGATGGATGGATAATCTCTTAGTTCCAAAATATCTTTCACAATGTGTTTCTTAATGGAGCACCTACCATGCATATGCAAGCTTTGATGCTAGGGATGGAAGAGGAGCATTTGTCTAACTTTTATGTTTCTAACCAAGTAGCTACATTCTACAGCCTACAAAGTGTGCATGTAGAACACTTGTCAATAATGAGTCTAGGGATGGGGAGCTAGCTCAGAAGCACAAACACCTGCCTGGCAAGTGCAGGATCCTGAGTTTAGTTCCCAGTACCCAACAATGAGTCTATTTAACATTTATTCAATTTTCCTTGAATGCATGTTTATTTCTCACAACAATGGCATTGAAATGGTTTACCAAAGGTTTACCAAAGGTACATGGAACATATACAGATATGATATTCTTTGTCTTAGTGTGTTTGACAATGAACGATCCTCCAAATCAAAAGCCTCACAGTATTCTTCTGTTTTTCTACACCCCTGTTTAGACATCCCCAATCTAACTTTTTTCAGGTCAGATGCATTCAAACAGTATATAATATAAAATAGTCCAACTCCATATTGTACATTTCAATCTGTTCTTCATTGTGTACAGCATGATCATTCTTATCTATTTTTCTCTGAAAACTCTACTCTTTACCTTGGAGCATTGCACCACAGGAGACATACAGAAGTCCCCAGTGTCTGGGAGAATGGTGGCTCCCAGAAGGTTCTAGGCCTCAGGGAGAGTCCTGTAAATGTCCTTCTGGCCTGGCAGGCCTGGCCCTCTCAGAAGGGCATAGATGCTGGCCACAATGCTGGAACCAGACAACATAGCAGTCAGCAGCCATGCAGACTGATGTCCAGACCTGGGCCACCCAAGGAAACACGGTCGTGGGCAGGCCCTGAGTCTGCCTTCAGAGTCAGTAAGCAAGCAAGCTCCTAGGTGCTGAGGATACAGATCCCTGCCGCATGGCTCTTACATTTAAGCAAACAGAGATACAAATGAGAGTTCTTTTTGCAGTAAAGAGGGAAAGAAGTTAGCAAAGCAGAAGGCTTTGAAAAGTGGAAGAGAAGCTAAAAGAACCACAACTTGGTGATGAGTTGAAGCAGCTAGGAAAGGGGAAGGAGGAGCATGCCATGCAAGGCCCAAGCTAGTGCATGCTCCAGGGGCAACAGAAAGCTGGAGTGCTGGAGGAAGAGACTGGGGTTAGCAAGTCCAGCACCAGGTTGGAAGTAGGTGGTCAGATGACCAGGGAGTTTGGCTTTTATTCTAAAGTGTGCATTCTCAAGGAGGGCAACATAACCCTCAAGGGGGAGTAAAGACATAGACTCATTCTTAGGGGCCGAAACAATAAAACCTTTCCTCATGGACAGAGCCCAAGTATATACACAGTACACGAACAATCTGTTGAATTAAAATTTCATATTGGGGCATATAGAGTGGAACAGATGGAAGGGAAAAGAAATATCCACAAAGCTCCTCCTGGCAGTCATAATGGGGAAACCGTGGGAAAACACGGATGTAATCTGATAGATAGAGCAGTTCTTAGAGGACTGTGAGGCAGAAAGTCACAGGATCTGAGTCATGAAATCTGCAGCTTCTTTGAGCAAAGGCCTCTGAGTGTCCATATTGGGCACAGAAAGAAGGCAGGGAGGAGTAGTGGCCAATGCTCATTAGACCCCAGCTCTTCCTCAGCCTCTGAAACAGTGAGAAGTACAGAGAAATGTAGGAGCCGGAGCCTTGGGCTGCATCACCACCTCACCTGCGGCCCACTTTAGGGCTGAGCAGCAGAGAAGGAGGGAACCCAATCAATTGGGGGAGGGCTTCCTGTATGCTTCCCTCACATTGTGTCACCATTTCATGATATTAAGCATCACAGAGGTCTGGCCAGGGACTCCTGCCCCACAGTATATGGGGGAGCTGGTGTTCGGCAGCATTGGAAAGACGAGGTATCCTCTCTAGTAATCAGGTGCTTGTTGGGGAACCAGCAGTACTGGCCACCAACTGTCTTCTCATCCTCACAGAAACACAGGGGCTCCCTCAGCTACTCCAATTCCATCAGAGGCCACGCACGGGGCCACCCAGGCCGAGTCGTTGTGCGGCACAAGGTACCCCAAGTGAAGTTTACCTGCAGAGTGGACAGCCCATCCACTGGTGAAGTTGCTCATGGGACTGGTGACTCCCAGATGGAGGGCGCCAGCTATGACGTGTCCATTACATTTCATCAGTCACCTGCATTGCAACACAGTGGCCACAAGGCATACTATGACAGCCAGAGGCAAGAGGTAGTTCTCCAGGCCACCCTCCATAGCCTGGATCCCAATGCATGGCTCTTCGTGGATACCTGTGTGGCTTCTCCAGATCCCAGTGATTTTACTACCATTGCATACGATTTGATCCGGCAAGGGTAAGCAAAACAGCAGGTCCTTTCTGGTTGACGGTTACAAGCATATGACATTCCTTGAGAGCACCTGTGTCTTCTGAACCAGTTAGCCCTAAATTGGAATGTTGTGCAAGTTTTCACCATGCCAAGAGACCAAGTGCAGCCCTTGTCAGCCCTCTGAGCCCAGGCAGGGCTATAGTAAAAGGCTGTCTGGAAAACCTCCCTTGACTCCCCTGAGAGTCCGGGACAGGGTCCTTGCTGTCGGGGCTCTGCTGCCTTGTTCCCTCTTCCATGTCCATGCTTTCCTTCCTTTCTAGTGGACTTCCCATTCATGGTGCAAGTCTGTAGAGCATTTGACCCTGAAGGGCTGATGGGATTTCCCAAGCTGAGCTCCTAGTTATTGTAGTAAGAGCTCTTGGGATTCCTTTGGCTAGCCAAATGATTTCCTAAATTAGAATTTTGACAAGCTATTTGTCTTTATACCTTCTTTTGTTCTCTAACAGCAACAAAATATTTATGAATGTGCAACCAGTTCAAAAATGAACAAAAATTCGTTGTTCACTCAAGAGCAGCGTTAGTATGTTGACAGCACGCTGGCAACAGCGTAAAGCCCGTGAGAGACACGGTCGTACCTATCTCTAAGGCCAGGGGAGGAGCAAAACAGCACTTGCAAGGTGCTGAGAGCCATGGCAGGAAAGGTGCACAGTAATAGCTCTCAACTGCCAGTCATGATCCCTAAGGTCCCAGCCCATCATCCCTTCTCCTAGGAGCACATTCAGCTAAGAACCCCTCAATAGGTTTATTCAGTGATGAAGTTAGTTCTCTTGAGCAGATTAAAGCACCTGGTTGGGCAGACACAGGGACCAGGGGTTTGATCCCCAGGCCTTCCGTGCTGGCCCCACCCCTGGGGCGCACTGAGATGGCAATTCAGATTGGGCTTGGTGGCACAAGCCTGTAATCCCAGGGCTTGGGAGGCTGTAAGCAGGAGGATCACTACGAGTCTGATCTATGCAGTGAGACCCTGTATACGCTGTACACCCTGTCCTAAATTTAAAAATAAAAAGTTAGTTCTCTTGAGATCCAATTACCTCTGCAAGGATGCCTTCATCTACTCAAGTTCACTATTAAAATCAGCTGCCACATATGGTTGCTACTTATCTGTGCGCCATAGCTAAAACAGCCATAGACCGCATGTCTGGTTGTTGCAATCAAATTTGCACACTAAAATTGGAATTTTACATTATTTTCATATGTCATGTGAGAATAGTAATCTTCTATATTTTCTCAGGGCTTTAAAATCTTATGAAATACATTGTGAGCTCAGTGTCTATACGAAAAGCTTGCGGCCCAGGAGGTTTGGCCGTTTGTCCAGCACTGACCTAGAGTCCATGCTGCATAGCCAGGGATACCTTCTCTGTGTTCTTATGATAAGCATGCGCCTTGGATCATACAAGCACACTGTGTTCACATTTTCTTAAATTTTTTTCTCACATTTTTCTTAATGAGAACATCTTCATGTTTTCTCCTTTTTATTTTTTCATACATTATGTTTCTTTTTGTACTGGGAATCGAACTTAGGACCTTGCACTTGCCAGGCAGGTGCTTATGCCGCTCACTGAGCTGTCTCCCCAGCCCTATTCTTGTTAGTACAAGTTTACAATGTGTAATGAATGCCTTCATTGCGGAGAGCTGGTAAATATGCATATTGCATCTTAGTCTTTTTACTCTCCTTTCCTGTACTCTCCTTCTTCTCTCCATTCATTCCTGGATTCCTCAATCTTCTGCAAAAGGTGTGCTGCCCTGTTTCCCATTATCTTCTGTCTTTTATTTGCTCCTTAAATTGATACTTGGTGCTCTTTTTTTCTCCACAACCTTGCTAGCATTTGTTATTATTTGAGTTTGTGATGGTGGCCATTCTTTCTGGTGTAAGATGGAATCTTAGTGCTGTTTTGATTTGTGGGTCTCTAATGACCAAAAGCCCTAAGCACTTTTTTTCATATTCCAATTGGCTATTTATGCTTCTTCTTATAAGAAATCTCTATGTGTGTCAATTGCTCATTTTTTATTGTGACTTCTTTTTGTAGCATAATGTCTTTTTTTTTTTTTTTTGAGTGCTATATATATTCTGAATGTCTGTCTTTGGTCTGAGAGGTAGCTGACAATTTTTTCTTCCATTCTGTAGGTTGTCTCTCCACTTTATAAGTTGTTTTCTTTGCTGTGCAAAGCTTCTTGATTTGATATAATCCCATTTGTTGAGTCTTAGTATTATTTCTTGTGCAACTGAGTTTCTGTTCAGAAAGTTGTTTGTATATCTGTCTTCAAGAGTTCTCCCTAATTCATCATCCAAGAGATTCCTTGTTTCTATTTTAATATCTAGGTCTTTGATCCATTTTTGATTTTATTTAATGCACAGTAGGAGATATGGGTCTTGGTTCACTCTGCGTGTGGATAACAAATATTCCCAGTTCCATTTGTTGAAGAGGCTACCTTTATTCTAGCCAGTGGTTTTTGATTTTTCTTTCTTTCTTTCTTTCTTTCTTTCTTTCTTTCTTTCTTTCTTTCTTTCTTTCTTTCTTTTTTCTTTCTTTCTTCTTTCTTTCTTCTTTCTTTCTTTCTTTCTTTCTTTCTTTCTTTCTTTCTTTCTTTCTGTTGGTTGTTTTCTTGTCCATTAATCAAAGATCTGATGACAAAATATGCCTGAGGTTGTTTCTACATCCTCTATTCTGTTCACTTAATCCACATATTTGTTTTTGTGTCAGGACTGTGCTGTTTTTATCATTGTAGCTTTGTAATATAACTTGAAATACAAGATTGCCATCCCCTGGTTTGCCCTTCTTGCTCAAGTTCATTTTTGCTATGCTGGGTCTCTTTTGACTGTATATGAATTTTAGCATTGTTTTTTCTATTTCTGTGAGAAATGCCATTTGGTATTTAGATTGATATTGCATTAAATCTGTATGAGTTTTGGTAATGTAGCACTTTGACAATATTGGTTCTGATGTCCTCTTCAACCTTTGTTTAGTATACTATTGTTTTTGTTACAGGATTCTTTTATCTCCTTGGTTGGGTTCTTTTCTCTTTTTAAATTTTATGTATTTGTTACAGGGTCTCACTCATAGTAGATCAGACTCAGTGATCCTCCTATCTCAGCCTCCCCAGCACTGGGATTACAGGCTTGCACCACCATGCCTGGTCTTGGTGGCCAGCTCCGTGTGCCCAGGGTGGGGCCAACATGGCATGTGGTACCCAAAATAAAACCTGTGTCCTTGCGCTTGCCTGGGCAGGTGCTTAGACTGCTGAGTGATCTCCACAGCCCTGTTGGGTTAATTCTTAAGTATTTTTAAGCCTATTATGAATGAGATTGTTTTCTTAATTTCTTTCTTGGTGGGTTCATTGTTAATGTACAGAAACATTATTGATTTTGGGGTGTTAATTTATTACCCTTGTACTTTGTGCTATGGGTTCTCAATGCAGAAACCAGACCAAAATCCAAGTATGAAGTTTTATGAGACTTTATTACTGGGCCCAGGACCACTTGACCATACTCACCAGGAGCGGACAAACAGCCAGGAGCCTTAGAAGTATAGAGGTTTTAAAGGTAGAAACCACATCCTATTTGGAAAACAAATTTGTCATTTAACATAGAACAGCACCTTTAGGGACAGCGTGACCATTACTCAGCATACATTTTTTCTGGGAGCATTGTTTTCTGGGAACGCCCAGTCCATTGATGATTTATCAATGGTACACCAAGCCTTCCTGCAGTCTTACAAGGAAGCAGGGTCACAGAAAGTTGAGCAGAGTAATTTTTTACATTTAGTCTTACATTAACTCATCACATTACTTTTACATTAACTCTTTACACTTTGCTAACTTTATTTACTGCTTCTAGGAGTCCTTTGGGTGGAGTTTTTGGGTCTTCTTTGTAAATAATTGTGGCATCTGTGAAGAGGGATAGTTTGCTTTGTTTTTCTTATATGTATCCCTTTTCTTTCATTCTTTTTAAGAATACAAAATAGTGATAGAAAAAAAGGCACTGGAAATGATACAAAATTTCATTAAACAAAGCAATAGAAATTCAGCAATTGTTGCTGTATTACATGATGTCCTTTTATTTCTTTCTCTTGCCTGGTTGCTTTGGTTAAAGTTTTCAGCGCTATATTAAACAGGAATGGTTGAAATTAGACACTTTCATCTTGTTCCTGATTTTAGAGGAGCTTTCCATTTTTATCCATTTAGTGTGATGTCTGCAGTGAAAGTTTTTTTTCATAGACGACTTTTATGAGTTTTATATGTATTGTTGTCAGGGTTTTTAATCATAAATAGATGTTGGATTTTGTCATGGGCTTTTTCTATGTCTATTCGGATGATCATATGACTGGAGTGGATATTTTGGTTTCTGAGTTAGGCTTTCACTATGTACGTAGTTCTGCCTGGACCTGAACTCATTATGTAGCCCAGCTTGTAGTGTATATCATCTTAAACTCACAGCAATCTTCCTGCCTCAGCCTCCTGAGTGCTGGGATTGCAGAGATGCATGACTACGCCCAAATTGATTTTGAGATTTTTTTTCATTGCCTCTGTTTATGTGTTATATCTATTGAATTCTGTTTGTCAGAATTTGTTTGTCTTGGTGTACCATTCTTGTATCCCTGAGATGAAGCTGACTTGGTCATAATGTATAATTTTTTAATGATTTGCTGCATTCTGTTTGCCATTATCTTGTTCAGGATTTTTACATGTATATTCATTAAGGAGGCTGGTCTGTATTTTCTTTATTCAAAGACCTTTTCTGATTTTGGTGTCAGGATAATGTTAGCTTCCCTTTCAATTTTATGAAGAATTTGAGAAGTATTAGGGTTAGATTTTCTTCTGAAATTCTGGTAGAATTCTGTGAGAATTCATCAGTTAATCCATTAGTTCCTATGCCTTTGGAGAGGAAAGGGGTAGAAATTTTATTATTGTCTCTGTTTTATAGCCTGTTATTAATCTATTCAGAATTTTTATATCTTCATAGCTCAATT